CCCTAAACCCTAAACCCTGGACTGAAGCTGCCCCAAAGCTGTTTTCTGGCTTATGCAGCTCCGGCTTCGGGTGAGTACCCCACAGCCGACGACTTCTCCTGAAAGGGTCTTGGGTCAAGGTCCAGAGATTCCCCCCGAGGCCTCAAGCTTTGGGTTGCCTCTTAGAGTCTTACAGGGTTTAGGGTTTAGGGTTTAGGGTTTAGGGCTTAGGGTTTAGGGTTTAGGGTTTGGATTTTAGGGTTTAGGGTAGCTTCGGGGTGTAGCCTGGAGCCTCACACAGCTTGAAGTGCTTTCCTGTTTCAGGCCGAGGGTTTCGGAGGCCTAGGTTCCGGATTTCACTGGGGAAACATGCTCAGACTGGCGCGACAGCCTATGATTCAGGAAGCTGACGCGTCGACATCCTGCCGAGTTCTTGGGATGCCTTGCGCTGGAGGCCCGCGTTTCCGTCGCCATGCTCTGTGGGGCCGGGCTTTCGGGTTTGGGTCCGCGTTCAAATACTAGGGGTTACGGGTTTAAAAGTGGGTTCAGGGTTTATGGGCTTTACAGGCTGTAGGGTTTTGTAGGTAGTTGAGAAGGTTTACAGGGTCGAGGGGGTTTAAAGCTTACAGGGTTGTGGGGTTCATAGGGTTGAAAGGCCAGAGAGGGTGTAGACAGTGTAGGGTGTAACAGTGCTTGCAGGGTTCAGGGCGGGGATTCCCTGGAGTCTTCTTCGATCGGCTGACCAAGATGGCCTGAGACAGAAGCCCTAAACCCTGAACCGTGTAGCCATGTCTTTACGCTTGGGGTCGTCGTGTTGGTATCGCAAGGCAAGGATCCGAAGGCTTGGGAGCTTGGCTTCGTCATGTCGTCCCTTCGCCTTGCAGCCAGTTCCGTCTCCAGCTTCAAGGGCCGAGGGGCCTCGGGGTTGCTGTGACCTGCCATGGATGTTTCGTCGATGTCCGCGGAGGAGCTGCGAGCAGCGATCGAGGACGAACGGCGGCGGGCGGAAGCCGAGGAGGCGAGGCTTCCAGAGCTCGAGGCCGAGACCGAGCAGGCCAGAGAGCGAGAGAGGCTGCGAAGACAGCTGCGGGACGTGATAGCAAGGCGGATGGACGCACAGAGGCGCAATGCAGAGGAAATCTATTGTCGAGAAGACATTGACGATGCCGTTGTCATCAGCGGAGCTGCTCGTCCACCAAGAAAGCAATGCGCGATACAAGCAAGCGGTGGAGAAAGCACCAATTATCGCGACAAGAACTCTACGGGCGAGCATGTGTGGAGAATCGAAGGCTTTTCCTGGGTGCCATGTGCCCTCGAGCAACATGGAGCAGTTCTTGGCTGGACTCCTCACTTTGTGCATTCGAGCTTTGAACTTGGAAACGTGAGATTCTTCTTTCGTTACAGCCCATGGGCAAGCTACATATGTGAGGAGTGTAAAGGGTCTCTCGCCATAGCTCTGTACATAGAGCATGACGAGTGCGATTGCATCGCACTTCGGTATCGCATCTATGTCAAGGCTCGGAGCGGTGAGTTCGTGCAGTGGGGCGAGACGTATGATGTCGTCCACCACGACGGCCACCACTACGCCGCCTGGCGCGCTTATGGCCCCGATGTGCATTGGCCGGGTCATCCTCCTGCTTCACTGGGCATCTTCGGGCTGAGCCATGAGGAGCTGCTGCAGTCAGAGTGGGTGGTGGACGACACTTTGACCGTGAAGTTCGAGCTCGAAGTCCGTCCTGACCAGTGCGCAACGAGGCAGCCCTTGAGCCTTGCTGCAGAGATTCCTGAGCCGACCATCCTCAAGGACACACAGGCGCTCTTGGAGGAGGGCATAGGTAGCGACGTGAGGTTCATGGTGCAGGACGAAGTGATCCAGGCGCACTCGCAGGTTCTCTGTGCAAGGTCCGAGGTGTTCAGGAAGCAGCTGACGGCAGGCATGCAGGAGAGCCTGTCGAGAGTCATCGTGATCGAGGACTGCGATGTGGGCACCTTCAAGACGTTTCTGCACTTCCTCTACACTGATCGGTTTCCAGAGGTTAAGGACTTCATTCCCGTGGGGACCTCGAGCAACAGCGAGGCAGAGCACGGCAGCCCCAAGGTGTCGCTGGTTCAGTCGCTTTTCAGTGTAAGCAACAAGTATCAGGTCATGCGGCTTCAGCTGTGGTGTGAAGCGACGCTTTCGCATGAAATCAGCATCGAGCAGGTCTGTGGCATACTCTGCCAGGCACATCTCTTGCAGGCGAAGCAGCTGGAGAAGGCATGTCTCTCCTTCATCAAAGACCATGCAACCCAGGTGCTCACGCTACCGGCCTACGCTGATTTGGTGAAGAAGTGGCCCCAGATCGGCCTGAAGGTGCACCTCTACACGGCGGGTGTGTCGGAAGCAGAGGCGCTGGCTGCGATAGATGCCCTGGAAAAGCCGCCAGAGCAGCAATCGGAGCCAGCGACTGAGTGAGAACAGGGGCCCAGGGGGTCAGTCAATGGCTTTTGAAGCTCCGAAGTATGAACTCAAGGCGCTTAGGGAATGTACGGTGCCTCACGACCGGCACGTACAACACTAAGCACGGTCTAAACAGCTATTTAGGATTTCAGAGCGAGCCAGAAGCGCCGCGACGAAAGGCAAAAACGCTGACATGAAAAGCAGTGTAGAGATCGACTGTTTGGACTTGTGATGCCTCCGTCCGTTGTTGGGTCCAGGAGCATGTTCGTCACTGCAGACTCGAACTTTGCATAATTTGGCCACCATCGAGAAGCCTTAAAGCGATCCCTTTTACTGCTTCCCTCCGCCCACAGAGTGACATACGTTTTTGATTGAAGGAATGCTGTAACCATGAGTGTCCTTGTGCAGGCACCTCCAGCAGCGGCTGGAGCCTGGAGATCTGCGACTCGGCTTCCCTCCGAGTCGCTTTAGTACCCTGCGGAGAGCCACCCGAATGCCAGGCTTGAGTAGCATAGGAAGGGGTCCTATACTTCCGGTCGATGGCCCAAGGCTTATGCTTGCAAGATCTTCCAAGGAATTTGGGATGACATAACACATGCGAGCTAATATATATATATATATATATATGTATATATAGATATACATATATATACACACACACACACACACACACCCACCCACCCCCACCCACCCCC